CTAATCAGGTTTTGCCCAGACGCAGCAGAATCGATTACGAGTAATGAATAGTCAAAAATCTGTGTTCCAAAACGCGTCTTACGGGAATACTTGTTGACCATTTGAGATATTATCCACACACAAAAAAATTGCGAAGATGCAAAGAGATGGATATGACAGAATACTCGAACCCGGTACATTATGGGTGATGGTCAACTGCTTTTCCTGCCTCAACCTTTCTACTGATTATGGTCATTCGTCGTAGTCTATTCAACACAGACAGGGCCAAAGCCGCTGATCCACGTTCGACCTCTTGTGCACAACAAGTTTGCGGGTTTGGGAAGCAGATAGATGCTATGTCCTAAAGGGACTCTAATAATCAACCTTCTCTTGCTGGACTATACGACTTTCTATCTCTACCCGTTTAGACCCAAAACTTATTCGTGAGATTACATGGGATTTCTCACCAAGAATTGCAAGATTTGCATATAATTCAAGCCCTTCGAACCCTTCTGAGTCTATTTGGGTTCGAAATGGCATAATTTTCCGAGAAGCCCGCTTTTCAAGGAGACCAATGGAGGAAGAGATGACGAGATGTGCTTTCCTATGCGGCATGCATGAGCTTGGGTCCACTCCTTAAAAGGATTACAAGTATAGAAAAGGTGGCGATACTTGTGAAGATGTTACTAGGCCTGCCACTGAGAAGCGTTATGCACACAAGGGCCCCTTGCCAATAGCATGCTTAGCGGCCTTCGCGTATATTTCGTGTGAAATCACCCGTAATCGACACTTGGGGTACATCATAGGCTACGGCACTATCTAGAATCGTGCCAGCACGCATACGGATGGAACAGCTTGATCACAATGATGATGCACTCACGAAGTATCACATCGAAGCCAATCGAGCTGCGGCTCACCGCGTCAATCAATAACATCGGCACAAAGATGCCACCATTTATCCGAGTATCGAAACCCTAAAACTCAAACCTAAGTGTAGACCACAACCGATATTACCGAGATGTTATACCTAGTGAGGTAGCCCCGCTTGATAGATCGAACTAGGGATCAGCA